CGGCTGCTTTGGATTCTTAAAAACTTTGCACTTAGTGAGATGGCAATTCTGGTGGCCAGGAATGACAAAGGACATTGAAAGTTGTGTTAAAAGCTGTGCCATTTGTGCTGGCATAAAAACCAGACCAGGAAAACCCTGTGGGCCTTTATAACAGGTAGTGGAACCATCCCAACCCTGGGAAGAAATCACAATGGATTTTATCGTTGAACTCCCTGAAAATAGTGGAAACACCGGGATTTGGACTGTCATTGACCTTTGCTCAAAGCAGGCTCACTTTACAGCCTGCCCTGGTCTCCCCTCTGCTCAGAAATTGGCAAAGATATTTTTAAAACACATTTATTGGCTCCATGGAGCACCTTGTTCACTGAATCCATCTGAAGCTGCTTGATTGAGTCTGGTTGTAGGTCAACCTGCAGTGATCATCAGTGGTCTTCTGAAGAGAACCCTCCAGGGTAGCCTTGAAAACGAAGCATCTGAGCTGCAGATACCTCAACCAATAGCCAACTATACCAATAGTACATTGGATGTCAAAGAAAGATCGAGAGGCATTGTTGATCATAGATAATTTGGGCTGCCAACATAGCTCTGCACACCGACCCTTCTCTAACTCTGCCCCAGTAAGATAATTGATAAAAAAAATTTTTTAAATTTTTTAATTTTTCTTTTTTCAAGCAGATAAAATACACAATACACAATACATTTTCCTTTCCCCTTAACAATACTATGTCCTATATTTCTTACGTTTATTAACAATTATTTACATTACTTCTCTTACTTTTTTATTCCTCAATTCTAACCAACTATAATACATGTCCCATACCTCGTAAAATTCAGTAACTTCTTTGTCTTTCATTTCTAAGGTTAGTTTGTGCATCTCTGCACAGTCTAAAATCTTTCCTATAATCTTTGCATTTGTTGGTATGTTTTCACTTTTCCAATGTTGCGCATATGCAATACGTGCAGCCGTTATAATATGTATAATGATGTATTGGAGTCATTTTTCAATTTTGGGATTAATTATGCCTAATAAAAATATTTCGGGCTTGAAATCAATTTGTTGTTTTGTTATTTCCAGTAGCCATCTTCTTATCTGCTCCCAGTAGATTTTTGCTTTGGGGCATTGCCACCACATATGGTAGAATGTTCCCTCATTATTTTTGCATTTCCAACAATCTGGATTCATATTTTTATAAATTTTAGCCAATCTCGCCGGTGCTAGATGCCATCTGTAAAACATTTTAATTTGGTTTTCTTTATACTCAGTTGACAACGTTAATTTGCAATTTACGTTCCAAGTTCTTTCCCATTCATCTAGTCCTATATTTCTACCTATATTTTGGGCCCATGCTATCATCGGGCCCTTTACTATTTCTTCTTCAAATTCAATTTCTAGTAGGAGTTTATAGGTTTTTGTTAAAAAAATTTCTCCCTTGTTTATCAATATTTTATCCAATTGCTGTAATGTTTGATATATCCCATACTCCTTCATATCTTTATTATGTTTTGATTTTATCTGTGCATATGGCCACCAATCAATAATTATTCCCTGTTCTTTTAATTCATCTCTTGATCTTAACTTCCCTTGGTTATCTAATAATTCTTTATACCTAATCATTTTTGTTTTATCTAATGTGTTTGGATGGATCATTGCCTCCATTGGTGAAATCCAAATTGGAATTTTTGTATAATATTTTTTTTAAATTTTTCCCCATATCCAAATTAATGCATCCCTTATCTGATGTCGGAAGAAATATGTATGAATTTTCTTATCTTTCCCCCATAGAAAAGCATGCCATCCAGCTTGTAGATTGTGACCTTCAATTGTAAGGACCCTTTTATTTTCTAAATTTATCCGGTCACTGATCCAAAGCAATCCAGCTGCTTGGTAGTAAATTTCCCATTTTGGGAGTCCAAGGCCACCTCTACTTCTACTATCCTCTAACGCTTTAGCATTTATTCATGCTTTTTTACCTAGCCATATACATTTATTAATCATTTTATTTAATTCATCAAAAAAAATTCCCCAGTTTTATTGGAACTGTTTGAAAGAGGTATAACACTCTTGGTAAAACCTTCATTTTAATCGCCGAAATCCTTCCTAACAATGATAATTGTAATTTCCCCCAAATCTCTAAATCTTTTTGTATACATAGTACCAATTTTTTTATAATTATCTTCTTTTATTGAGGAACATCTTGCGGTGAGCCAAATTCCCAAATATTTAACCTTTTTTACTATTTGCAACCCAAAATTTTCTTCTAATCCCCTTTTTTGTTTTTCAGTTAAATTTTTAACTTTTCTTTGTTTATTTTTAGTCCCGCCACCGTTCCATAATTTTCTATTTCATCTATTAAAATTCTATCTCTTTCAAACGGTTCCTCTATAAAAAAACACCAAATCATCTGCGAATGCCTGTATCTTATATTCTTCTGTTTTAATCCTTAATCCCATTATTTCTTTGTTATTTCTAATTTTAGTTAGTAGCACTTCTAACGTTAGAATAAAAAGTAGAGGTGACATTGGACATCCCTGTCTTACACCCTTGTTAATTTCAATCTTCTCTGTATTTTCCCCATTTATTATTACTCTGGCCTTTTGTGTTCTATATATTGACTTTATCATTTGTTCAAATTTCTTGCCAAATTTCATATTTTCTAGCTGTTGGAACATAAATTGCCAATTAAGATTATCAAAAGCCTTCTGGGCATCTAAAAATATTAATGCAGCCTGTTTTTTGGGATGTGCTTCGTAATATTCCAAAACATTCAGTACAATTCTTGTATTATTCCTAATTTGTCTATTTGGTAAAAAAACATTTTGATCCAAATATATTATTTGATTTAATATTATTTTTAGTCGTTCCGCCATTATTGTAGTAAAAATTTTATAGTCCGAATTTAACAACGAGATTGGCCTATAATTTTTTATTTGTTTAGGATCTGTATCTTCTTTTGGAATGAGGGTTATGTTGGCTTCTGTCCATGAATCTGGTAATTTAGCTTTCTCCAATACATCATTATATACCTCTGATAGTGTCATTTCCAAATCTTCATATAAGGTCTTATATACTTCCCCAGCTAGACCATCTGGCCCCGGAGCTTTATTATTTTTTTGCCTTTGTACTGCCACTCTTAATTCCATTGCTGTTATTTTTTTTATTCAATAGTTCTCTTTGTTCTTCTTTCAATTCTGAAAGACCATTGGCCTTTAAATATTGTTTTATATTCTCCTCCTCTGTTTCCTCTTTTTTATATAGGGATTCAAAATATTTCTGAATTATTTTTTTCTTTTCTTCTATTTTATATTGCACCTCTCCATTTTTGTCCTGCAGTTCCTGAATAAATCTTTTTTCCTTTTCTTTTTTTAATTGGTAGGCAAGCCACCTCCCTGGTTTGTTTGCGTATTCGAAAAAAATTGTTTAGTTATTTTCAGTTCTTTTGCCAATTCCTCTTGTTCTACTATATTTAATTTATGTTTGGCCAGAATTATTTCCTCTTTAATCATTTCATCTTGTGGCTCCCACTGTAATTTAGATTCTAATTCTTTAATCTTTTCCGAAAATATATTTTGCGTCTGCCTTTTCACCTTATTTTTCCTTGCTGTATATGCTGTTGCTATACCCCTGAGATAAGCTTTTGCAGTGTACCATATAGTTTGTAATGATGTTTGTTATTTAGTGTTCTCTTTGAAAAATAGTTCCATCTCTTTTTTGATCCTTACGATAAATTCTCTTTCCTTTAAAATTTGAGTATTAAGTGCCCACCTTCTCTTTGTTTTTTTCTGACCTGTCCACACTATGTTCAGGGGGTTATGATCTGCCCATACATTTGGCATTATTTCTATTGTCTCCACTTCTTGCCCTATTTCCCCATTCATCCATACATGTCCAATCTAGACCACGATTTGTGTGGATTTGAGAAAAAAGTATATTCCTTTTATAATTGATAAAATTATTATGGACGTTCAGTATTGTGAAGACACTCAGTGACAATTGGAGAAATACATCTCCAGCATGTGTTTTATTCAGTTGTAACTTTTCTCATCAGTTCTACTATGATTGATCTGTTTTAAATAAAAGGTTCTTTAGGATTTTACCCCACTTGAAATATTAGCTTTCAGTGTCATCAGTGTACCCATCTACCACCTCCTTCATAGTGCAACACACACACACACACACACACACACACACACACACAAACACACAAAGTACAACACCTTCATATAAAGAAATTTCATAGATTCTCTGCCCTGCTGCTGTTCATCGGGTAGAGGAGCCCTTCATTTCTCTATCACCAAGTCCTCCTCTGGCCCTCACCCAGAAGGAAGAATCAATCAATTTATAATGGTAACTCAACAAGAAATGGAACCAAATTGCTTCTTCCTTCCTTTTTCTTTCCTTCTCAGGACACCCATAAGGCACTTTTCCCAGATAGGTTATTCCAAAAACAAGTTCAAACGCACCACACAAACAATCATGAGGACATCCCCAGTGTGGCTCCCTCTCCCTTCTCCACCTTAATGGCCATCTTAAGTGGACAAACCACCCTTTTGCTTCGAAGGCTGGAGATTTGGGCTTATGTTCATCAGAGATCCAGACAATTAACAAAGAAGAAAGTCCACCAGTGAATCAGCTCTGAATGCAGTGGATGTTCTTGCACAAAGATCTGTTCCTTCCTTCATCCATTGCTATATAACTCAGCTTGTGGTTTTTCTTCTTCAAAAATAGAAAGATAGATAACCTTTATTGTCATTTTTTCCCTATGGGCACAATGGCACACATTAAAAATGAAATTTAGTTGCTTCCTCTCAAAGTGTACACATACATAACACACATTTACCCCACTGAAAACATTAGCTTTCAGTGTCATCAGTCTACTGATCCACAACTACTTACAAACTGCAACACACAAACACACTCAGTACAACACATTCATATAAACAAACTTCTCAATGGGACTTCAGAGCACTGTCCAGAAGATGTGCATATACAAGATGGTGCCATGTGCCATGATGGCGTGTATTGCTATCACGGGAATTGCACGACTCATGATATGCAGTGCAAAATAATATTCAGTAGTGGAGCAACAGTCGCTTCTGAAGTATGTTTCAGACAAGTGAATAATAAGGGTGATCGTTTTGGCAACTGTGGTCTTAAACATGGAATTTACAAGAAATGTAATCCTGGGGATATCCTGTGTGGCCGTATCCAGTGTAAAAAATACACAAATGCCTTCTTTGGAGGATCACAGTACAATAATTCATACTTCCACCAGAATGAATCAATGCTGGGGTACTGACTACCACCTTGGGATGAAGGTGAATGATATTGGAGCAGTGAGAGATGGTGTTCCTTGTGGCAATAACATGATGTGTATTGAGGGTAGTTGTCTCAATGTGTGCATTCTGAAATATGACTGTAATGTCACAATGTGTGACAATCGGGGAGTATGTAACACTCTGAAACACTGTGTGACACTACAACCTACCCGGGGAGGTCTGACATCGTTATGTCCGATACCTCCATCGTATCTGTCACCTGGTGGAGGTTAATGCCATGTCCGATTTCGATTATACTTTTGTAGTCGATATCGACCTTATGACACACGTAAAACAAAGTGTTAACAAACATGACCGGATCAATAGACCAAGTTCCTACCCGACTCGTTGGGATTTGGAAAATTTCAGGGAAGTGTCCATGCTATTAAACAAAGAGATGAAGGAACAGCAGTGTAACTCACCCTTGCTAAGAATGCACAACACATCCAGTATAAGCTCAGGAATTAATAGTCAATTTGAAAAATGAAGAAATTTGAAATTTCAATGTTTTAAAATGTCTCCCAGACATATTTCCTTTTGAAAAATTTGGCATCTTTGAAGGGGAAGAAACCTTCCAATCTATGCCAAGTATTGTTCACTTAGTTGAGGAAATCTCTCATTTGTAAAGAAAAATAACTCTCCGGATAGCCTTGAAAATGAAGCATCTGGACTGCAGATACCTCAAGCAATAGCCAGCCATACCGATAGTACATTGGATGTCAAAGAAAGATCAAGAGACATTGTTGTTTATAGATAATTTGGGTTGTCACCAGAGCACTGCCCTCCGACCCTTTTCTAACTCTGCCCTGGTACAATTATTGATGGAATTATTATGGACATTCAATATTTTGAAGCCACTCAGTGACAATGGGAGAAAGACATCTCTAGCATGGTCGTCTGTATTATTCAGTCTACTTTGATCTGTTTTAAATAAAGGGTTGTTTAGTTTTTCACTCCACTGGAAACATTAGTTCTCAGTGTCATCAGTGTACCCAGCTACCACTTCATAACACACTGCAAAATACACAAACACACCCACAAACATACAGAGAGAAAGATACAGAGAGAACCACACATTCATATAAACAAAGTCTCATAGACTCCTCCCCGTTCATCTGGTAGAGGAGCCCTTCATTCATCTACCACCAACTCTTCCTCTGGCTCTCACCCAGAAGGAAGAATCAGTCAATTTATAAACTTAACAAAAAAAATGGAGCCATGTTGTTTTTTCCTTCCTTCTGCCTTCCTTCTCAGGATACCTATAGGCCACTTTCCCCAGATAGGTTATTCCAAAAACATACTCAAAGTCACTGCACAAACAATCATGAGGACATCCCTCTCCCTTCTCCACCTTTATGACAATCTTAACTGGACAAGCTCACTTTTGCTTCCAAGGCTGGCCAATTGTGCTTATGTTTATCAGATGTCCAGACTATTAACAAGGAAGAAAATCCACAGTGAGTCAGCTCTGAATGCAGGGGGTATTCTTGCACAAAGATCTGTTCCTACCTTGATTCATTACTCTGTTACTCAGCTTGTGGTGTTACTTCTTTCAAAAAAACATGATCTGGCTCCAGTGACCAAGATACCAATACTACTAAGTTATTTGCCAGTTCTTAGCTGCCTTGTTCTCTATTGATGCATTTTAAAATTGTGGTGAAACAGGGTTTCTGTGCTGCCCCACTTACACACACACATAAGTTGTGGTTTAGTGAGTTTATTAATATACCCCAGCAATTCCCTTCACCAAACTCAGAACTGTCCCAATTAAGTCCAGCCACAAGCAGGCCAAGATTAGTCCACAGAGCAATTGCCTAATAGTCCATAAAGCAACTGAAAGTTGCTCAAGGAAAACTTAAAAGGTTTAGCAGGTTAATGGATTTGAACTCTTACAAAGCCACACCTCTCCTGGTTTGATAGTCTAGTTCACTTCCCATTCAAATTATAAACTAATCCACTTCAATTCACAACTTGGGCCAATCAGAAAAAATATAGAGTTCATTCCTGATAGATAAACTAGAGAGCAGTAGGATACAAACAATAGTTATTCTATATTTCATTGTTTAAACTCCACCTATTTTCCAAAATATATTACATTTCTGTTGCTATGTACAGTACAGAATCCTGATTTTCAAATGTTTAAATATGTTGTAATCTCTCTCTCTCTCTCTCTCTCTCTCTCTCTCTCTCTCTCTCTCTCTCTCACACACACACACACACACACACACACACACACACACACACACACACATATAAACACATGCACACATTCAATTTCCATGTTCCCATCCTTTTTGAAATTCCTTTTCTAAAATAAGGTCAGGTTCTGGTAAAGGAAATATACAGTTCATTGCTATTAGGTAAACTAGAAAGCAGTAGGATACAAACAGTAGTAAAGCAATATGGAGTTATCCTGGGAAATTGAAGTAATTAAATAATGAGTCAACATAATA